AGTAACACCTTGATAAATATCTGAAGCATTAAGAAATTCCTACAGGGCATATTACTTGGTCAGAATTTAAACTAGACTCTTCTACTCCAAAGCCCATGTTATTTCTATTGCACTGATTAGAATATACCACTGACTACAGCCAATGTATTGTGTAGCTTACATAGGTGCCTAAATTAATTCACTTGTCAAGGAAGGGAGGGAGGGAGGGAGGGAGGAAGGAAGGAAGGAAGGAAGGAAGGAAGGAAGGAAGGAAGGAAGGAAGGAGGGAGGGAAGGAAGGAAGGAGGGAAGGAGGGAAGGAGGGAAGGAAAACAAAAGTATATTGTGTATATTTATGCTCCATCATCCTCTGCCTTACTTAGAAACCACATCAGAAAGTTAGAAAAACCAAGAAAGAGTGAATCCTTGCCTTACACAGTCCTGGAGAAATGAAGATTTGCTCCCAAAGTTGACACAGTTGTTACTTCTACAAAAATCTCACGGCAGAGGCCAGGAGCTCAGAGCCAGGAAAAGCTGGTATCAGGATGTAACAGAGGAGAAAGGAAAACTAATTGGAGTTCAAGACTTGTTAGGCAAAGACCAGGCAGTCAGGAAGAAGCTCAAGTAGTCATAGTGGAGGGGGCTGCTGGAATGGGGAAGTCAACGCTGGCCAGGCAGGCGAGGAGAGCCTGAGAGAAAGGCCAGCTCTACAGGGATGGCTTCCAGCACATCTTCTGCTTCAGCTGCAGAGAACTGGCCCAGTGCAAGCTGCTGAGTCTGGATGAGCTCATTGCAAAAGATCAGCCTGCCCTGTGGTTCCCATGGGGCAGCTCCTGTCTCAGTCCAAGCAGCTGCTCTTCATCCTGGATGGTATGGACGAGCCAGCATGGCTCTTAAAGGAGCAGAATCCTGAGCTCTGTCTGCACTGGAGTCAGCCACAGTCAGAGCACACACTGCTGGGCAGTTTGCTGGGAAAATCCGTCCTTCCTGAGGCTTCGTTGCTGCTCACAGCTCGGACCACAGCTCTCCAGAAACTCATTCCTTCTTTGGGGCAGCCCTGTTGGGTAGAAGTCTTGGGATTCTCTGAGTCTGGTCAGAAAGAATATTTCTACAATTATTTCACAGAGGAAAGTCAAGCAGTTAGAGCCTTACATTTGGTTGAATCAAATACACTGACCACTGTCCTGCTTCTCACAGAGGAAGGATCCTCACAGGCGGCACAGTTGGAGCCCTTCTGCCCTTTACCTTCCTCTCCAGGAGACATGCCCACAGAGCTTCTGTGGACTGAGACACTTTCTGGGGCTCCACAGGGCCTGTGGCTACTGAGGTGGTTAGCAAAGAGAAGAACCTATATCGGTGAGTGAAGGGCTTAGCTTAACCCAGGCTGGCCTTCCCTACTCCACTCCCCACAGCCCATCTCCACAGACAGCGACCCATCCAGACCAGAGTGCAGCTCTGGCCACAATACCTGCAACAGCCCCTCCCTCTCTCCAGCCTCACACATACTGGCACCCCGCTGAGAGCGCTGCTGTGACTCCCTAGGTGACAGGTACCCAGGTGCCTTGGATTTCTCACTTTCTCAAGTAAATTTGTAGACTCTGGAACATCAAAGGGCTACCTGTGGATGCAGACAGCCACACCTCCCCCCCCCCCCCCCCCCCCCCCCCCCCCCCCCCTCCCCCCCCCACTGTCACGGCGAC